ATAGATTTGCTATTTAAAACAACTGAAATTAATTTGAAACTATGAAATCGAGGAGAAATCATGCTACCTCAAAACCGAGGAACACATTAGATGGAATTAATAGCTTTTATAATAAATACTTTAATAGCTTTTGGGATGACTCGCAAGCCTCTCTCCAGGGTAAGTTGATCGCGCCTTCCACGCCTTGACTCCCCCAGCCTCATTCACCCTCCCGTCTCCCCCGCTTGTCTCTGCTCCTAGCCTGGGTCCTGTCTCATTCCTTATCTTGGCGCCACAGACACCTGGGGAACCACAACTGCTTCCTGATCCTGTGCATCCAGACCAACTCAGTTCCTTCTTGGGTCCCCAGGAGAGCTCTGGGCCTGGCCCTGCCCTCACCTCCCTCTGCTTCCCTGGGCTGCACAACCCACCAGCCTCACTTTCCTCTTGATTCTTTGCATTCAGACCAACGCAGTTCCTCAGTGCAGTCCCCAGGAGCCCTTGGGGTCTCTTGCTGTCCCCATCTCCCTTTGCATTTCTGGGTGGCACAGCCACCAGCTGCCCTAGACCAGCATCTTTCCTGAGCCAGGCTCCCAGGCCAGTCCAACCCCCAAATTCCTGAGGCCAAAATCGTTCCTGGAGGGATCCAGAACTTAGGAAAAAGCCTGAGAGCATCTGATGTTCATCTGACTCGGGCCTCTGTGGGAACTCCTGAGGATAAAAGCAATCTGGCCATTCCAATATAAAATCAAAAGAGAGAACTGGAAGCTTAGAGGAAACAGCTTTTCATGCCCCAAAAGTAAACCACAAACACACATAAAGTTTACAAAAAGAAGCAGACCTAAACTTGAAGGCTTGAGTCTCACACAAGAATCAGAAACTACAAAAGAAATTCACATGTCAAAATCAGAGATTTTGGTGCTGGGATTCAAACCGGGTCTTCTGCAAGAACAGGCAGAAGAAGTTCTTAACTGCTGAGCCATCTCTCCAGCCCCAGGAGTCAGGTTTTATTCCCAGCACCTACATGGCAGCGAAGCACCATCTGTAGCTCCAGCTCCAGGGGATCCAACGACCTCTTCTGACCTCCACAGGCTATGCATGACACGGGTGCACCTACCTACATGCAGGCAATACACTCATACACATAAGATAAAAATAATAAATAATTTTTTTTGTCTTTTTGAGACAGGGTCTCCCTATAGCCCCAGCTGACCTGGAACTCACTATGTAGACCAGGCCAGCCTTGAACTCATAGAGATGTGCCTGCCTCTGCCTCCCGAGTGCCACCACACCTGGCCCAATAAAATACTTTTATTAAAAAAGAAGCAAAAACAAAAAATATTTCCAGAGGGCTAGAGAGATGGCTGTGATCACATAAATCATAGCTGCAAAATGTGAAAAAAACTGCATGAAATTGCTTAGCTCTAAATCCTCAGTGAGTGACATCAACAGATCTCAATGTGTGGCTGCTAAGGGTTGGGAATGGATGATACAAAGCTAAATGGGAGAAACTACAAAATGTCATGTACTTGATAAACAAAATATGGTTTAACTATATATGCCTGCCATCAAAGACTGGGAAGATGCACAGAAAAATGAAAACAAACGAACAGTAGGACGATGAGGTGGGCTTCTTTCTTTTTAAACATTTTATTTATTTTTATTTTATATGTGTGATTGCTTTGCTTGCATGTATGTTGTGTAATATCCATGGAGGACAGAAGGGAGCGTCGGATCCTCTGGAACTGGAGTTATGGACGGTTGTTAGCCACCATGTGGGTGCTGAGTAAGGAACCGGGGTCCTCTGCAAGAACAACTAGTGCTCTTAAGTACTGAGCCACCTCTCCAGCCCCTGGGTCATTTCTTAGGAATGCTATAATGCATAAAAACCGGAGTGGAAAGAGGCTAAGAAAACAGGCTTCCTTGAGTCCCGAATTGGGGACTAGACTAAAATAACTGAATCGAGAAAGAAGTCTGGAGCGGGTGGAGTAAACCGTGTGATGAGGGTGAGTCAAGGCTCCAGAGCTAGATTGCAGCTGCTGGGGCTGGTTCGGGGCTCCTGGCAGCTTGAGCCTGGAGGCCGGCTCGCACCTGGGCCCCTGCGGGGGCGAGGCTAGGGAAGGCCCGCCCATGCCGGCGAAGGCCCTCCCCGCCCCCGAGCGGCCCGCCCTCTGGGAGCCGGAAGCCGGGTGAGCGAGGCCGATTGCCTAGTGTCGGCCGAAAGGAAAGCCCTGGGAGGACCCTCGCTGGCCCCGGGAGACTCCCCAGCCGTCCGCGACGGTGCGGGGGCCATGGGGAGTCCGCGCTGCCGGCCGCCGGTGGTCGGGGGCTCCGCGCTAGGACGGCTGCTCCTGGTCCTGAGCGCGCTGGCCTCGGGCCGCGCCTCCCCGGGGCTCCTGGACTTCCCGGCTCCGGTCTGCGCTCAGGAGGTGGGACCCTGAAGCACCGCGGGGGCGCGGCGGGGTGCTGGGAGGTGCGACTCGGGAATGCTGGATGGCGCGGACTCCGGGTGGTGGGGAGTTGGAGGGGGTACTGGGGGACGTAGACCCAGGTTGTTGGGCGCCACGGGGATGCTGGGGCGATGGAGGGGATGTTGGGGGCGCGAACTCGGGATGTTGGGGGTGCTGCGGGGATGCTGGGGCCATGAAGGGGTTTTGGGGGCGCGAACCCGGGGTGTTGGGGGTGCGGCGGGGATGCTGGAGCCTGGGTGGAGGAGGTGTTGGGGTGCGGCCCGAGGATGCTGGAGGGCGCGGACTCTGGGTTCTGGGGGGCGCTCACCCGGGATGTTGGGGACGCGATGTTGGGGGCGCCAAGGGAGTGCTAGGGAATGCTGAGGGGCGCGGCGGGTTGCTGGGGGCGGCGGCCAGAGGATGTCGGAGGGCGCGGACTCCAGGCAAGGTCGCGGAGGCAGGAAGTTCGCGCTGGTGACTCGGGGAGGCCCGAGCTTGAGCACGAGGGCCTGGAGTCCTGAAGATGACTCCTGAGTGGAGTTGTGTTGGACCTGGATGGAAGGAAACTGATGGCGTGGAGCCCTGTGGCTGGCAGCGGGAGGCAGGAGTGACAGTCCGGTTGCGGTGGTGGAATCCCGAGAGGGAGACCCCAGGAGGCTGGCAGTCAGCTGGGGAGGGAACGAGGAGAAGATCCTTAGTAGGATCGGGGACCAGTCTGGACTGAACTCTACACTGCGCCTTGCAAATCCCCCCCAGCTCTGCCTTACCCACACGCCGACCCGTTGCTCAGAAACTATCCCTCTAGCTGGAACCTACTGTCTCCAAAGGAGCCAGGCCCAGCACTCGAAGGCCGGATTTAGAGGACCGAAGAGTGGAAGGTGGGGTCCGTGACCGCCCCCAGCCCTGCCCCAGGGGTCCCGGCTGGTGGAGTAGCTCAGCGCTGGGGTTGGGAGGGCTACTTGGAAACAGGATGAGGCATGGTCACCTGCGGAAGACCGTGGGCGAAGCCCTGAGTCTGGGCAGTTACTCCCATCCCATCCTACATACCATACCACCGCAACTACTACTACTACTACTACTACTACTACTACTACTACTACTACTACTACTACTACTACTACTACTGCTGCTCTTACTCTAGCCCCAGAACCGAGTAAGCACGCTGTGGAATGTGCAAGGTGGGAGGTCTGCTGGTTTGTGACTGTCAAGGAGGACCAATTCCCCCCTCCCCCCGCCCCCCCACTGCCGTGTTCAGAAGTTGCCTTGCTGTTGAACCTGAACATTCTTCAGAAAATACTGGAGGCAGGGTCAATCAAGTATGATGGCCCTGGCCTTTAGTCTCAGCATTCTGGAGGCAAAGGCAGGCAGATCTCTTGAGTTTGAGGCCAGCCTGGTCAACATAGCTAGTTCTGAGCCAGCCAGGGGGTGCAAATACACTTTCCTCCTCTTTGCACCACTCTCTGGCTTTCCCAGTCCCCTCCTCTCTACATTAACTGCTGACCCCAGGATCTGTGCTTAGTAGCTGAGTCAGAGGATGTGAAACAAAAGTTCTCTTTTTCTAATTTTGTAAATTTACCAAAAGAGGGTGGAGGAAGGAGGGTGACTATTTGACAGGAAAAAAAAAAAAAAAAAACATTTTTAATGTGAGTGATGTTGGGAAATGTCCTACTGATTCCCATTACTGGGCAAAGCAGAATGACCTCTGCCTGTTAGGTTTTGCCTGTAGACAAGACAAAAGTAGTACAACATGGAAGGTTGGGGGGGGATGGTCTTGTTTGTTTTGGACTGGCCATTTATCAAAGGCTTTCCAAATACAAGGTGCTGGTCAAGGAATTGAACCTATAAAGAAATAATCCTGGGACTCCAGTGTCCCAGAATTAAATTGTCTTGGATGTGGGACTTGTCTCACAAGGAGGTCTGGAGCAAGTGTTCTTTGCATAGCTTGTAAGTGTACAGAATTCCAGGCAAAAGAAAAATTACTTCCAGCTGGGCAGGTTTTCATGCAAAAGACGTTTGGTAGTCCTGTTTCGGAGTGGGAGCTTCCAAAACAGGCTCACTAAAGCATTCCCTCTTAGAGGACTGGGCCAGGGTCCCTGTGTGAGGCAGGGTAAAGTGTGTGGCTGGAGGGTCCAGGTGTTGGTGGAACAAGAAAGGGAGTTAGTTGGGATGGGAGCTGGGCTGAAAGGGTTGTGAAGTCTGCAAACAGCTAACCTAGGCTCTAACCTATAGTTCCTGCACTACAGGGTTTTGACTTTAATTGGAGGGATGTTTGTGGCTGTGCTTGCCTCAGTCTCTCTTCTTTCTCCCTTCTACCTGCTCTTAGACATCTCAGCTCCGCAGACCAGCTTCTCTGTTAGCTTTAAAGACCTTTTTTTTTCTTTCTTTGTTTTGTTTTGGTTTTGGCTTTTTTGAGACAGGGTCTCCCTGTAGACCCAGCTGGCCTGGAACTCGTTCTGTAGACCAGGCTGGCCTTGAACTCATAGAGATCTACCTGCCTCTGCCTCCCAAGTGCTGGGATTAAAGGCATGCGCCACCATGCCTGACTTAAAGACCTTTTTAAAAGAAAGAAGTCAGAGTTAGAGGTATGGCTCCATGATAGAGCAGCTACCTACATGTTCAGGGCCCTGGGTTCCATCCCTAGCACTGCAAAAAGGAGAGAAAAAAACCCACACTATCTAAGATTCTCTCCCTCCCCCAGTGGGTTTTTAAAAAAAATTTTATGTGTAGAGTGTTTTGTCTGCACACATGTAAGTACACCCATGTAATGCAATATCCATGGAGGTCAGAAGAAGGCATCAGATCCCTCTGGATCTGTGGTTGCTAGGATTACGAACCTGGGTCAAGAGCAGTCAGTGCTCTTAACTGCTGAGACATCTCTCCAGCCCCTCCCCTAGTATTTTAATGGATAAAATATGACTTCTACTGTGAGAGGACTGGATGAGAAATTTCAAAGGCAGCCCCTGCCACTTTCTACAACATAAACGACTGCCGAAAACTGGTTGGCTTTAGCTCTCATGAGGCCCTCCTACGACAGTAAGGAGGCTTTGCATACCTGCTCTCTTCCTTGCTCCATGCGCAGGATATAGGGGCTTGGAAGATATGTGCTGCCTGAAAGACCAAAAGAATGGAGAAAGGGTGCTAGAGAGATGCTCAGCAGTTAAGAGCACTGGCAGAGGACCCAGGTTCGGTTCCTAGCACCCACATGGCAGCTAACAACTGACCCTAACTCCAATTCCAGGGTATCTGATGCCCTCTTCTGACCTCCAAGGGCATTGCATGACTCAGGTGCACTTACATGCAGACAATACACTCATACACATAAAAATAATAAAACATTTTTTTAAAAGAATGGAGAAAGGAGGAAGGAAGGTTCTGCTTGCAAAGGAGCAGTTAACTGAGGCCTTTGCACTTGTTCAGGCTGCCTGGATTGGTCCCTCAGAAACCTCAGAAACCTGCAGGACTCGGATCCCCCCACAGAAACCTACCCTGGAGTCACCTTAAGTAGTTGTAGTTCCCTGAATGCTCTTTTGGTTGGCTCTTCCCCTGCCCAGGCTTCTTGTAGAATTTTCTATAACTGCTATTCTTAAGGAAAGCCAATAAACGAGACAGCAACACCTCAGAGTTGGTTTAACAGACAGGATATGTGATAACATTGCTAGTTCTTTTTTCCTGAGCACTTGTGGTTTTGACTTGTGGTGGAATGACTGTTTGGCTTTGCCCTCCTGTCTTGTGGTGGCTGGATACTGTTGTCGGCCTTGCCACTCTTCCCCAAGGTAAAATGTGTTTTGTGCCTACTTTCCCAGTGGACGTGCTTCTGCAGGCAGGGCTGCACACCATGATAGAATCACAGGGAACAGGTCCCTAACATGTTGGTCAACTCCCACCCTGGCTGCCTCTCGCCCTTGTCAGGCTAATCTGTCATCAGAAGACATTGACATCCAGCAGACTGGAGGAGCTCAGTCAGAAGCCCTGGCCCCAGGCAATCCTCCTCTGCAGCCCTGTGTCTTCATCTATAAAAGGGGTGGTCCTTGCCTCACAGGTCTTGAGGAGACTTCTGCATGCCACATCTGACTATGTGCACTATGGGAATGTTTGCTGAATGCCCAGAGCTAAATAGTCTTTCACTTCCTTTTTTAAAAAATCATATTTATGCTGGGCGTGGTGGTGCACGCCTTTAATCCCAGCACTTGGGAGGCAGAGGCAGGCGGATCTCTGTGAGTTAGAGGCCAGCCTGGTCTACATAGTGAGTTCCAGGACAGCTGGGGCTACAAGGAGACCCTGTCTCAAAAAAGACAAAAAAAAACTTGTATTTATTTGGTTTATTTTATATGTATGAGTGCATTGTCTTCATGTATATAAGTGCACCTGTGTCATGCAGTGCTCATGGAGGTCAGAACAGGGTGTTGGATCCCATGGAACTGGAGTTAGGAATGATTGTTAGCCACCATGTGGGTACTGGAAACTGAACCCAGGTTCTCTTGCAAGAGCAGCCAGTGCTCTTAGCCACTGAGCCATTTCTCCAGCCCTCCTTTCTTTTGACCTTTCTGCTATGGGTAGAGAGGAGTGGCCTGCTTGTTAGAGATGCTCCCCTTTTACTGAGAGGCAGGGTGACAGTGCTAAGGGCATGGGATCTGCTGCAAAACTGCAGGATTTAATGTAGCTCTGTGGGACCTTGAGCCACCTAGCTAACCTCCCTGTGCAGCAGTACTTTTGTTGGTAAAGACAGGTTCATGGGAAGGAAGTTCAGAAGTGAATCACTTAACAGTGGCGATATGTTCTTAGAAATGTCTTCTTCAGTGACTTAATCATCTTGTAACCATCACAGAGTGCACATACACAGACCTAGATGGCACCTTCAATGCCTTCATGTAGCCAAGGTAAACAGACGTGTAAGGCTGCTGCCAGTGCCACACCACACAGTTTACAGTGAACTTTTTAAAGCATAAGAGTGTAGTCAAGCCGGGTGTGGTGGCACACAC